TTCTAGGAGCAGCCAAGTGGCGGAGGGCTTTCACTTCGGTGGCCTCAGAATCTCATCTCTGCTTTTTGCGGATGATGTGGTTCTGTTGGCTTCATCAGGTGTAGGGATGGGTACCGGTATCCGGTGCCATAATGGCACAGTGATCTCATGGGATCATAGTCACCAAGAAAACAGTTGGTAACATACTACACCGTGAACGACTGAAATGCTTCACGGGTCCCCCTGCTCAGAAAAGGACATGCATAGGCCCATTAGAAGTTTGCCATTGAACATCTCAATGATTCAGAGGAGGACTGGGGGAAAGTTATGTCGTCAGATGAGACCAAAATCGAGCTGTTTGGCATCAACTTAACTTTTGGAGGAGGAAGAACGCTACCAAAGACTCCAAGAACATTGTGCCCACCGTCAAACATGGAGCTGGAAACATTGTGCTTTCGGGTGTTTTTATGCAAAGAAAAAGAGGACAACTGCACCACATCACAGGGAGGGTGGATGGGGACAAAATGTAGATGAGAATCTCCTTCCCTCACCCAGGGCATTGAAAATGAATCATGTGTGGATATTCTAGCATGACAATGATCCAAAACACACGGTCAAAGCAACAAAATATTAGCTCAAGAAAAAAGCATATTAAGGTCTTGGAGTGGCCTAGTCAGTCTCCAGGCCTTAATCCCACAGAAAATCTGTGGAGGGAGCTGAAGGTTTGAGTTGCCAAACATGAAACATTAATGGCTTGGAGAGCATTTGCAAAACTAGTGGCCATCTACAAGACACGTCTAACCTCTGTGATTACCAACAAAGGTTTTACTGTACATGAGTCTCTGGGTTCATGCTGCCCAGAATACCCACTGGATAGTTCAGCTTGGCTGGGCACTTGTTAAGACAGAAACATATATGAAAGTGACCTCCAGGGTGATATAACACAACTTTTCAATTTCATCGACAAACTGAGACAGAAGAGATCTCAATTCCTTAACTGATGATCTTTGTTAAATAACTCCTAATTGTCACAACTGCTAACTGTGGTTAAAGGGAACTTGTTGTGTCCTTGGGCAAGACACTTCACCTACTGCCTACTGGTGTTGGCCAGAGGGGCCGATGGCGCGATATGGCAGCCTCGCTTCTGTCAGTCTGCCCCAGGGCAGCTGTGGCTACAACTGTAGCTGCCTCCACCAGTGTGTGAATGTGAGAGTGAATAAATAGTGGCATTGTAAGGCGCTTTGAGGGCCCCGAAAAGTGCTATATAAATGCAATTTATTATTATTATTATTATTATTAAAATCCAAACTGTGTTTTAGCCCACATTTTAAAAACTGTACATCAGGAATGTAATCAAGTAAAAGTAAATACAAATGTGTCTCACTTGTTTTTGATCTAATACCTTTAGAACCACTTAAAAAAAAAAATAAACTGACTACATCAAACAGACTGAAAATGGCACATGTGACAGATAAATGGCTGGTAATCACTGGGATAAGTAAGAGAAAGGATGTAATGGTGCTCACAGTGAAAGCCACAGTAGACCAAAAGATCAATAAATTCATTTTAATACTTTAATATTAGATTAAATGTATTTAAAGAAGTTTTATATACATTTATATAAGTGCCGCCTGAGTCATTTCCATCTGTGCAAGCAATGTTATATGAAATAAATTCCCTGTTCAAACTCAGTTGTTTTGTTAATTGTCTGTTTGATCTAGAGAAGTATGATTTCAGACATCATTTAATGGTGCCACTGCCACTGTGATGCCACCATCACTGCTGGATTCTAACTGATCTTCCATCAGCTCTAATTTCCATATAACTCAGTGAAACAAGGCAATCAACTCATCACACCTTTGTCTGCAATAACCTAATACATAGCTAATACAAGTCAATTCTGCCATATTTGCCAGTCATACACAGGAGTAAAATATTGTTTCACCCAGTCCACAAACAAAATAAGAATAATTCAAAGTTAGAAGAATATGAATTATGCATGTACAGTAAAGGTTTGAGCCCACGAAGTGGTCCATGAAGAAGACCAGCGGGACAGCAGTGAGCTTTCCTGCGCTATTTACTGTGCACTGCAGTAAATGGCGCTGCTGAGGTTCGAGGAAGTATATTTTTTGAACCACACAGTGATGTAGGTAGTCAAGATGCTTTCAATTCTGCCTCAGTAGAAGGAGCACAAAATCAGCACCGGGGCTCTCGCTCTCCTCAATCTGCAGAGGAAGTTTACTGTGTGTACTGTCTTTTTTGACCATAAATGCATTTTTGTTTGTCCAGGAAAGGTCATCTGTGTTATGCACATCCATAAATTTGGTGCTGCTCACCCTTTCCACAGCAGAACAATCCCTTTTGTTGTCTCCACATTTAAGAAGTCATTATTGCCACTGTACCACACGACCAGTTGGTTGGCCTCTCTGTGTTGTTTTTTTGGTGAGACCACATTACGTTTGTGTCATCCACAAAGTTAATGAAACCACATGCTTGGAGGACTGCAGTGCTCAGCGTGATGGTGGTCGATGTGTTGTTGTCGACCCAAAGTGCTTGTGGTCCCCCATTGATGAAGTCTATTATAAAGTGAGGTGTTTGGGCTCAGCGGGTCCAGTTTGCATACTAACTCCAAGGGGGATGATTGTGTTGAATGCCTAGCTAAAGTCTATGAACAGCATTCTGATGTAAGTTTTATTTTTTCATGTGTGTGTGTGTGTGTGTGTGTGTGTGTGTGCGTGTGTGTGTGTGCGCATGTGTGCCCTGGTGGGTGAGAGCTGAGTGGAGGAAAAAGGAAGCAATGTTACTGTCAAAGGTCTCTGGTGGGTGCTTGTAGTCCATGATGGTCTAAATGCCTTTCCCCAGACTCCTAAAGCCTTTCCTATCTCTGTAGGAGTAGCGGTGTTTGGCTCTTCTGATGCGACATGTGACAGGTTGACCCTGGCTGCCCTCAGACTGTCAGCAGATCTGAAAGCAGTATCCCTGGCTTTAAGTAGTCTGTAGACTTCCTTATCAGCCATGACTTCTGAATTTCCTGTATACTGAATATCCTGGTGTGTCATACAATTATTATATTTGGTCAAAGTGTCAGTGTTGTTGGTTAAGTAACTGTCTGCTTCAACATGACCCAGCCTGTTGAGAAAAAGCAGTCCTGAGGTGCTTCAAATACCAACGCACTTAAGCTTCTTCTGCTTTGTCTCACAATGTTTGCAGTATTTCCTTTCTGAATGGAAAGAAGTTACCAAGTTTGGTGTTGTGCTGGGCTGGCAAAGTAATGCAAGGCCCTGAAGTCATTATGTTAGCGTGCAGTCTAAGTTGTTATTTGTCATTCCGTTGATGTCTGGCAGAACCCAACTACTACACAACTATTTGCACACCAACAAAGACAACTGTGACAACCTTGTGCACGTTTGACTTGGCCTTATCTGCTTCACACTTAAGATTTACAGACTGTTCACAGGATAACAAATAATTATGTTAGTGGTAAGCTGATCATAAGCTGATCAGTTAACCTGTGACTTAAACAGCTTCAATCAACATCTGAGAGCAGCCCAAGAGATGACAGAATACACAGAGAGACTGGAGGAAGACAGTTGAGCAGTCTGGCTAAGGAACACAAGTAAGCCTTTGAAATAGCTTTTTAGGATTTTCTGGAAGAAGCTTCCCTCATCATAAGCACTCACCCTCCCTTTTATAGCCACAATCCAGGTCACTCAGGCCAGCCTCATCTTAATGGAACCAGGGTGATGGCTTAAAGTTACAACTCTACGTAATACCTGTGGCCACAGTTTAAAGGTCTGTCCTATAATCTCAGTAAACTATACTGCTTTGGTGAGAGACCCCTAATCTCAGAGCTCCAAAAGCAAACCCAACTGAGTTTCTGGAACAGCTTAAACGTTTGAAGGTTGCTTGGCACTCCGAGTTTTGAGGACGAGAGACAGGTGGGCTGTTTAAGCAAAGAAATGTACATTTTTCAATTTTCTAGAAAAAAAAACATATTTCATTTATCTGGTGGATATCTGTCTTCATATGCATTCCACAATTTCTGCAGCATGCATGAGTTATATTGACTGTGTGAAAAATAAGAAAGTCACTGCATGCACCATTTTGTGTGGATTGTTGCTAGGTGACCAAATAATTACCAAAAGCCATACATTTAACTAAACCTAAGGTATTTTGTATAGTGCTGTGTAATGTGTGGACTTTATGGTTTTATTATTGTTTTAAATACCATTATGGCACTTTTATCATTGCCATCAAATTGGTATTTCTTTTTTTGTTGTTGTTGTAAACTATAGTTTATTTTAAAATAACAGCAATGCAGTGGGGCAGCAGCGTGTAGGGACAGTACCTTGCTCAGGGGTACCGCAGGGTAACCATTCAGTGGATTCGAACCCCCGACCTCCCGATCATGGGGCAACCACTCTACCTACTGAGCTATCCCTGCCCCAAATATGAACTAATTAGTCAGTTTAGAATGTTTTGTATCATTTGTACCATTTTTTTTAATAACCAGTGTACCATATACCCATAACAACCATTTCTGCTAATTCCAGTTTCTCTACTGCAAAAACAAGCCTGAACTGTGTAATGCAATCATCTGGAGTTTACTAACCTTTTATTACACAACAGTCCCATATCTTGTATATGTTAGTATAAACTGATATATTATAGTCTCTAAAATGTTAAATTGCGGACAGAAAAAAGACTTAAAGGAAACATCTTAACCCTTGACCCCTGTCCTGAGTGCTTTCTGAGACTTTGTTGTGCTGTGGTGGATATTGTGACGGGTTGACTTTTTCTTTCCTTAGATATAAGTGTCACTGCAAATCAATAAAACCTTTATCTGTAATCCAATGTATTCAGTTACTGAACAGGTTTATCCTGATGTGAGAATTCGCTTCCAAACTGACAATGCCTCCATCCAAAGGGCAGATGAAACCACATCTCAGTCCAATTAAACACCTATGGATTTTGTTGAACGAAGATCTTACATGTTTTTCACACAGACAGAAACACCTGCAATTCACTTTATTTACAATAAGAAGCCAGGGGGCTATGAGTGTAGACAGGGTGTCAGTACTGCTTCTGGCCACAGTCCAGGGAGACTTCTGGGCACAAGTATGGAAGATGCCTACATGTCATCAAGATGGAAAAAAAAAAAACTTTAGACATGACACTATGCCATATTTTTAAAACTAAATGCTAAAGAGTTTAATTTAGTACTAATGACCGAGTAACTAACAATCAGCTAAAGTGTCATTTAAAATTCAAGCTACAAAGTGATGGAACCAGCCTGATGAAGAAAAAAAAGGTAATGTAAACGTAAACGTAATGACATGGTCACAAAGTACAGGGACGCTTTTCAGGCACGGTTTGATTATGGTGCTGTTCTATCCACACACAGTATTACTTCTGCAGCTTTATACAGTCCATTTGTCTTTGACATAAAAGGATGAAAAGACAGTCGAGCATGCAAAGCTATGATCACTTCACTTCTGAAAGTGCCATTAAATAATCACAATAATGAAAACACCACAGAAATAATGTTCGCAATAAGCCAACAAACTCACGATGGCTGAATCTGTGATGCACTAGATCGCAGTCAGACTGACTTTGATTCAGGAACCAAAGGAACACTGAACAACCAGACAGAAAAATGTGTTGATGTCAATGAATTTTAAATTGAATTATTCATTCAAAATCCAAGAACATTCAATGCTTAACACGAGATATAACATAAAATGGTTCATAAATTTCCTGCATCAGTAAATAAAACTAAGCATTTAAAGATACAACTTATAAACATACAAATTAAGTATTTTCCTGCTCTTTTATGACCTGTTTGTCAGTGGAGCCTTGTGTAATTAGCTCTCAGCTTGATGCCATCACTGTTCAAAACGGCATCACTTAATGAATATATGTTAATATATAGTAAAGACTAATTTGTTAATGTTTTGTATATTTACAGAAGGTGGGTTTCCTAGACAATTCATGATTTCTTTTACTTCATCTTGGACATACTTAGACAGTCTCTGAGCTCTTATTTTGAAAGCTGCTGACAAGTTATCACATGGATAGACATTCATACCGAGGTTTCCTAAACTAACTCCATCATCTTAGACTGCAACTGCTGGTGAAATTCTACCATGAAGTTTTTTTTATAGCTAAATCCAACCAGGACCTAAAACTGTTTCCGAGTTGTTTCGTGCTCTGTGCAGAAACAGGGACCAGGAGTCCCGCCGCAAACTGCTGAACAATTTGTTTTTCCTTTGACGAAGTCGGGACTCGTGGCGGTTCCGACCCGAACACACATAACTTTAATTTAAAAAAATAAAATAAAAATCTGTGCATCTGGATTTTGGCGATTACAGGCAGATACTGACCTCTGCTGGACCAGTTCTGCTCACTCAACTGCTCGAAATAATACAAGCTTTTGTTTTTTCACAATAACATTTTCCTATACCAACAATAGCCTTTTGTATGTCTTTGATTCACTTTTTGTTGTGATAGTTGAATTTCAACAGTGTGGGATAAATAAAGTTATATTAACAGGTGTAGAGGTGAAAAATTAAAATGTCACCAAATATATTAAATCTGACCTTTATTCATTTGTTAGGTTTACTGCATAAAACAAACTAAAGACTCTTGTGAAACTGTATGAAGATAATGACACTTTAAAGGCTTTTGGCTTGGAATAAACCTGCCTGGCCTTTCTCTGTGCATAGAGCAGATGACCATGTTATTACATGTATTAAAAAAATGCTGGAAACTGCACATTGAAAGCAGTCAGCTTTCAGAGAACTCACAGAGCTCGGATGTTATTCTCATAAACAGTAACTTGGGCATATAATAGACCCAAGTGAACATAAAGTATTGTAACCTTGTATACAGTAACAATATATTTATCATTTTATACAATTACAATGTTTTGAGGTAAAAAAAAAAGAAAAAAGAAAAGCCATAACAAGTCTTTGTCCTTAATAAGTCACAAAATCTCAATGAGGTTTTTCATTTTTAAGACCAGATGTGCGTCGCTTCTTTAGTTGAGGCCAGCTCATTTTCATGTAAAAGTCTTTTTTTCCTGTGGTCCATCCTCTCTTCCTCAGTAGTAATAGCTTCCAAAAACTGCTACCACACAGAACAAGCTGTCCTGTGGAAAGACAATCAGAGTGCTTTTTAGAAAGCGGACTCGAGTGATGAAATTGTGACTGAGCAGAGCACTTACATTCATGAAAACATCCTCTGCATAGCTGTCTGTGTCAGCATCCCAAAAACACCTGGAAGACATCCTGGGGAGAAAAAAAACACAAACAGAGACCAAGCTAAGAAAATCTTAAAGTTTGAACTACTTAAAAAAAAAAAAACTATGTTGAAAAAATGTAAAATAATGGTTGTGTCTTCTTGAGACAGTCCTACCGTTTGCTTTTACTGATACTTCAAATTTTTAGTAACTTTGAATCACTACAGTTTTACCTTAATCAGGTGTTTGCTGATACTGATGATGTAAATATGAAGAGCAGATCTTTGATAATAACCTGAATGATCCGGTCTCCGTTCTCTGGTACAACATATGACATGTCTAAAAAATACACTGAGCCCTGAGACCTAACCGTAATCCCTGTGTCAAAGTCAGTTTCTGAAAGTCAAGAGCAAGACTAATGTTTCCAGTACCAAATGAAGACTTACTTGACTCCCTGCCCTCGCTGTTCTCCAATGACCACCTGCACAACAAGCTTATATTTGTCGAATCCTGAATCTGTTCACAAAGAGAATAGGATAGTATTTTATATGTACATCCAAAAGAAAAAAATACTGTGTAACATAAATATTAGTCAATATTTTTTACTAATCAAATTTGTTTAAATGGGAAATAATTCATTAATATTGTGGGGCCAGGAATTTATGGTGTTATACATTTATTGCTCCAACAGGCTGTTGTGAAGATCCACAATCCTTTTAGTCTTGTCACTGCTGCATTTCCACTGCTGAAACTTTCAGAAATGTTTGCATTCAAACCATTGTGGTACTGGAGCCCTGAATAAGTCAACACGCATCAAAAAGCTAACACCGATAAAAAAAGATAGATCCCCAACACCACTGGCTAAAAATACAGCCCCCAACCATGACAGAGCCTCCACCGTGTCTTATAGATGTGTACACACTCACTGTTGTGTCTCTGTTCTGACTGTCCTCTGTCTATACATACTGATGGCTTGAACCAAAATGTTCAAATTTGGATTCATTACTCATTAAGACATGTTGATTTTCAGTCCAGATCTTGTGTAATTTGGTGTAATTCCAGTCTTTTCTCTCTTTTTCCTTTCTTAAAGAATGGCTTCCTGACAACCACCATTCAGTGAGACCATTTCTGATGAACCTTCAGTGAAGAGCAGATGGATCAGCAGAAGGGGCAGCACCATCTCTCAGGCCCTGTGTCAGATCTCTGCAGGATTTTTTTTCCAACTTAAGGAAAAAACCTTATTTACCTAAAGATGTCTTAATGACTTTCAGATACAGTTCATCTGCTGTACATAGTTTTTTAAGACTGGCATGTCTTCTTTTATCTTCCACTTCTTCAGTTTCCCCAATATAATACTAGCACACTGGACACTATGCAAAGATATACTTGATTTTGACAAAATAACTTGTTGGGAATCACCATGTTGGCTCAAAAAATATTTTATGCCTGTCAAATTATATGTTCATTTTCCTTATATTCAACTAAAGTAATGGGAACAATCATGTGTTTTTGTGACAGGCTGCTTGTAACAAAGAGCCTAAAGGCACAATTTAAAATGAGTTCTTTGGCAAGTTTTCTGTTATAAGTAGACACAAACACTGGTTCATCCCCTGAATGGTTTATAGATCAGTGTTAAGTAGTAAACAAAAAAATTACGAAAATTATGCAAATGGTCAGGTAAAAGGACTGGACTGAAAATGAGAGAATAAGTTGGCCGTGGCATTCAGAAAGCCTGGAGAACTACTGCTCAGGACCAGCTTTTAAAAATGTAAAAAAGTTTGGCTCCTAGGAAGAAAAATATGAAGAAATGCAGGGTGACTCAAGATTTCTGCACAGTACTGAAGCTGGAAATCATGACACATATTGCCCTGAGATGTAGTGGTAGCTGCATGAAAAAATTTACATGCAGCAGATTAAAATGCCTCATCTTTACAGGTCTGAGTACCACAGTGGAAATGCAGAAAACAGCCGTTTGAAGGAACCTTTCAGTTACTTGGAAAAAAGCGCCTATGACACCTGGGTACCTCTACATGAAACACAAGTTTACTGTTATTTAAACAGATACACAGATGGTTGCCACATTCTATAATTAAAGTGGTCATTTTAAGCTGCAGCTAAAATTTTCAGAAATAATTGAATGTTCTGTCCTTTTGACAGCACATGAGAGCGACAATGCTTCACTCACTCTTTACTTTGTCCTTCACAGAGTCTGCCAGTGAACGGGTCAGCTCTGGGACTTCCTCTGGATTGTACTGCACCCCAGACAGTCGCTCCCTCACAATTTCACGAATACACTCCTTCACAACAGCTGGCCTGAACCTGCAAGATTTACAGGAAAACAACAAGACAGCAAATGAACCTTCCAACGAGCACAATGAGCCTCTGATACACAAATATCTTAATAATGGCAACATGCATGCTAATAAACGTCATGTGAACAATACATTCTATATTCAATAGGCTATAAGTTTTTTTTTCATTTGCATTTTAAACTTATTTACCTATGGCACTGTATATTGTAATTACATGCCTAAAGTAATCACATTTGAATGCCCTGGCACATCTGCATTGTACAGGAAAAATAGGTAAAGTTCCTGCAGATAAATCTGCAATGAACGCTGTAACAGACTAAACTTCGGTTAAAAATTCAAGTTTGCACACGTAACCACATTATTTTGATTGACGAATGGAAGTATTTATACTACTAAATTAAGTTTGACGTTAGATGTCATTTATTCAAGGCTGGAACAACTGCGCAGCTAAAAGTAGACCGCGAATCAGCTAGCTAAAATGCTAAATTAAGTTTCCTTTACTTGTGTGGAAAAGAAGCCGTTTAACCACATGAATCAACTCACTTCTGCTGATGATTAGGTCGTATGTGGTAAGTATCGGACTCCCCCATGGTATATGAGTACTCAAACTACAGTATTGAGCAAATACATGTGAAGAGCGTCTTTAAGAAGCTAGCCAAATGCTACCTGTAACCATGGCGACGTTTTCCCTTGTTTCCTGTTTCAAAATAAGAGTACCGCTTAGCTAACCGGTTCGTTTCTTCTTCCGTGTGTACATTAAAGTTGATCAAAAAAAGCACGAAAATCACAGATAATGGCGCTACTGGACACTTTTCACAGTTTTTAACACTCGATTGCAGTTTCGATTTAACCCCGCTCTTCTCGGTGACTAGCTGAAAGATCAACAGCAGTAGAAGCTGTAGTAGGCCTCAAACCGGTTGTCAGTGACACTGCCCCCTGGTGATCGTAAACAGCTACAACATGTGGACAGCTGTCTGCAAGCCTTCCTTCATCATCTTGTAAACCTAAACACATAAACCTTCTACTACTTATGACATCGTTTCTGTTTCCACCTAATGCATTTATACTCTGTCCCCATTAGTGATGTTTTACTGCCTTTACTCATACATGATTCACACTGTCTTAAAATGATGTTTTTTAATATCTGTAATAATTTCAACTACTGGGCTACTCATGGTATCTGCGTAACTTCTGAATGCAGCTGGTTCTAAGGCCTTTTAGCTGCAGCCTGATCAAATCATGCTTCCCATTGCTCAAAGCACCTGAAGAAACAGACCCAAAACTGATAAGATGTGAGTAAATTTGTCTTTAAAGAACAACTTCCAGCTCTGGCAATATACAGATGCAGACACATTTTCAACAGCGATTTCAAAAGTTTTAATTCATTTTTAATTTATGCTTGCTAAATAGTGTCATTATATGTGCAAAATCTGCATCTTTTTGCAATTTTTATTCTTACTTTAAACCACAGAGGTTGTTAGCAAAGAGGCACAAAGATGCACTTGTTTCATTTCAGTTGCTCGTTATATAGAACACTTCAGACCAACAGGGGACAAAGAAAAATATAAATCTTAATAATAATAATAATATACAGTTGTATATGATCTTTCATGTCATTTAGCTTACTTCATTAAACAGAAGACAAATAAATAAATAAACTGCTATCCACCTCAACAACAATGCATTCAACAGAAGAAACAATATCATAAATTCCCAAATTCTTATTGCAACATCACCACTATGTTTTTTTTAAATTTTATTTACAAATCATTTTGACATAGTGACTCCTGTAAACATTATGCTACATTTACTGATAGTAGACAGTTTTGACTTATGTGCATTTTGTTTGTAAACAGTACGTTTTCACATGTCTAATCACAAATGGACTTCATGTTTTGCTTGTGCAGAATTTGTGAATTGTATACCCTTCAGCTTTGAAGTAATGACTGAGCACTAACATTACCATTATGTGAGGCAAACAGCATAATTAAAGCCCCTGAATCAGATATTGATAATATAAGTAAATAGATTTAAAACTACACATTGTTTGTACACACTCCTTTTATGCACCCCTCACAGTGTTCAGGCTCATGGGGACTTTTGACTTCATAGAGTCTGAAAGGTCGGTAGCTTTCCTCAAGGTTTTCATGGTAGCACTTTTGTTTTATTTTCTCCACCAGTTTTTCCATGAGGGTGTTTATGTTCTCAGATTCCACGCTGGGATTCTCCATTGGAGCATTTGGGCACTTCTTGCAGTTCTGACGTAAGGGCCTCACTTTGACAGTGCCCTGCCCATTTCTCAGGCACATGTGGAAGAGCACTTTCACCTTGTTGGAAGGCCACTTTCTTCGACACATGGAACATTTGAAACTTGAAATTAAAAAAGAGAAAGAGAATGTCTGTTTCAGTAGAAGTCAAAATTACTTTTAAAAAATTCAGAAATTTTCTTTCAACCTAACAAACTTGCACTAAACTCATGATTTGTGTAAAAGCTGATAGCTGCCCTATGTGTTGCACTCAGAATCACATCTGTAAGTAGTAGAGATGTTGGGTGGAATCAAATGCATTTACAAGGGCAGTGGGAGGAGATATAACTGAGCTTCTCATGCTTAACTGTGTCCCCTCTGATGGATGAATGTGTGATTCATATGATGTTTATGTTTAAATTTGTTAAAAAAAATACTATCGAGCTATGAAAGTTGAATATATTTCAAAGGGAAGAAGCTTGTGCTTTTTATGTTTACTCAGCTTTTTTGTTTTATTTAGAGAATACTCAGTGGAAACTTGTGGATGGATAGGTGAATATGACCATAGTATATTCATTACAGTGTTACAGTGATGTGCCACCACAGTAATACAATACATGTCATAAAAAGAAAGAGGAAAATCTAATAAATATATGTTTAGATGTAACTGAGCAGACCAAATTATTAGCTTTTTGGCTAATTAATAGTGTAATAATGACATTTGAAAAGTGAAGAACAAGAACATAAAAGGAAAACAAACCATCTGATGTTACTTATTCCAGTTTACACAATACCAGACAGAGCTAGAATCGCTAGAATAGCTCTTAAAGGCAAGTATTGGTAGACTAAAATCTATATTTTTAGGTAAAGTTGTATTTATACCACTTCCAATTATTTTCCATCATTCAAACTCTGGAATTGTACCAAACAAGGAATGAACAAATATTCCTTAATAACTAAAATGTATTGATGTTGTACTGTTATCACGCACATTGCGTAATGTAAGGCATATTAATGTAACACAAATACACAATAGTGTAAATATTAACACTCATGCAAATACTCAATGCAAACCAGCTGCAGTAATTAACAGTTGTTCAGCATACTGACCTTGCACTTGTGTTCCTGATGTACTCCTTCCAGTCCAAGTTTGGCTTATTAGGCTCAATATTTTCATCATATTGTAATTCCCAGGAGTCTCCTTGCTTAAGATCTTCTGCTTTAATCTGAAAGATTTGTGTCCATTCTGGTGACATCTTTTCAATTAAATCGGCTGAAGAAGAAAGAAACCCCTAACAGCTGATCTGTACTGTAAACAAGGAACTCATGAGAATGACTCCTCAAGCTGCGAACTTTAAATAAGGCGGTACCAGCTGAGAGGAAACCGAAAGCTACCAGTGCAAAGCAGGCTTCCTTAAGTTTCAGTTATGGTTTATACAATGAACATCAGAATATTAGATGGCGAATCATTAGATTGTAAGTGAAATGAAACTGAAATGTTTTCTAGCAACACTGGAATCTGCTGGTTTATGCTGGTTTATGGTTTAGCCTTTGTGCACACATTTGTTGTCAGTCACTACTTTGAGTGAAATATTCTCACTCTGGCAAAAATAAATAAATAAATAAAGTGGTGAACATGTAAAATTAACATCTTTTTTGCTCTTATGTTACCAGAAAAAGCAAATAAATAAATGAATGTTATATATTCTTATTCTACATTATTATAATTAATGACTCCATAGTGTAGAGTTTCACACATTTGCTTAACAAGTAAAAGATTACCTGCTTGAACATGTGCACAGACATATGCAGAGCTACCTGCTACCAGGGAGAAGCTACAAAAAGAAAAACAAAATCAGTAGAGTGCAGGTATAGTGCTGAGTTGAGTTATAAGCACGATGATAAGAATCACGTGTTCACTAATGTTTTTTATCAGCTCTTTTTTCCACTAATGTTCACTAATGTCTTTTTTTATACACAGTGAAAACATTTTGCACATTTTCACCACACTGTGTGCAAAAAGTATAGCAATACAGAAAAGCCTTCTGAGTCTACCTGGGCAAAGAGGAGCATGGAGAGCAACCAGAAGGTGTCAGTGTTGCTTAACAAGAAACGCTTTCAGTTTCAGTTCTCTCAGTCTTCAGGTGCACCAGTATCGATTGTACAAAACTGCAACTGAAACTTAAGATAGCGTGTTTTACAGTTGTAAGTTTTGTCTTCCCCACAAACTCTTCTGACAGAGCCACAGTCAAAGTTCGCAGCTTGAGGAGGGTGACTCATTCTCACCAGCTGTTTGTTTACTGCACACATCAGCTGTTAGAGTTATCCTTCTTCTTCAGCTACCAGCGACCACTTTAACCGAAAAGATGCTGCCACCTGAATGGATACGTATCTTTCGTATTAAAGCACAGAGTCTTAAACGAGGAGACTCTTGGTATTTAGAGTATGATGAAAATATTGAGCCTGACAACGTAGACATGGGCTGGAAGCAGTACATCAGGAACACAGGTGCAAGGTCAGTGTGGTTTGTATATTCAGTATGGTATATTTCATAGGTTAATATATAAAAATATAGTTGCATTATGCCAATTACTGTGCATGAAGATTGCAACATTAAAGATGAGGGAATAAATGTAGTTGCTAAGGAGGCTTAGTTCATTAAAAGTAAAAAGAATATTCCGGAGTTTCAATGATGGGAGCATATTTTTTAGACTAGCAACACTAGAACTGAAGATGTAAGATGGAGCTGACATCATTTGTTTCCTTTCACTTCCTTGCGTGGGTGCCATCTCGTTAAAAACAATTCGATGCAAGTTTAAACTCGTATTAAAAATAATCATATAATCACTCTAGACTCTTCTAGTAAAGTAACACATGCTCTTTTTCATTTCCAAGGTTTAAATGTTCCATGTGCAGAAGAGAATGGCCTTCCAACAAGGTGAAGGTGCTCTTCCACATGCGCCTGAAAAACGGGCAGGGCACTGTCAAGGTGAGGCCCTTACGCCAGAACTGCAAGATGTGCTCCGAAGCTCCAATGGAGAATCCCAGCGTGGAATCTGACAATGTGCACATCCTCATGGAGAATCTGGTGGAGAAAATAAAACAAAAGTGCTACCATAAAAACCCTGGTGGACGGAAGCTGTATTTCAGAAGCTTTGACGTTGACAGCCCGCATGAGCCCACACATTGTGAGGGGTGCATCAAAGGCGTGTGCACAAAATGAGCTGCTTTTAAAGTCAGCCTGTTTCTGTTCGATCATAACTTTGCCTTCTTTCATTCTGTTTTATTGTATTTCTTCTTTCTGTAATAAGCAGATGCACATTGTTGTATTTATCCTTTATTTGTGCTTGGTAGCAGACAGCTTTAGCTAATATATTGCTTTCTTTGTTAAAAACGTTAATTAGCACAAAAGCTCTCATACATTTACTGTTACAAATGAATTAAATAAGTCAAGATTTAAATATGACATGAAGGTCTACAGGAGTCACTTTTCACATTTAAATTCGTATTTTCTGATTTTGTAAATAAATAATACATATTTTTGAAAAAAAAACTAAGCATGACATTATTGTTCAAGAGAGGTGGGCAACATCTTCTTTTTTAATTTGATTTAGAGCCACACACACAGCTTACACATGAAGCATGGTACATACCATGAATTTTGGT